CACATTGTAAACATTCCTATTCTTTACTCTAACAATCTCCCTGTTTGACAGCCTTTTGAATGTATTGCCTAGTTCTCCAAATGTATTTTCTACCATTGAACGGAATGATCCAAGATGGGAATTATATTCAGCTTCTGTTTCTGATAAGCTTGTTCCTCTCTGCTTTCTTACTGGTAAACAAAAGTTGTGCAGTCCAAAAGTATCCTGCTCTTCTTCCTCAGTCATCTCTTCCAAAATACTTTGTGGATAACCACCATCAAGCACAATGCAATCAATAGGTGATATATTCTTCAGCAACCCCATGTTCTTAATCATTCTTGAGTCTGGGTGATCTCTACAGTCTTCAGTTGGTGAAACAAGTAGAACCATTCCATTCACATCAATGCATAGTTGTGTGCGATATCCTGATTTTTTCAATTTGAATGAATAGAGATCTGGTTTGTATGCTCCATTGTGTAGTGCTCTTGAGTCATGGCCATCTAACATTAGTGTTACATGTTTAAACCCTTGAGGATTCTGTATCTTTGCTGCAAAGACTCGTAGTTCTGGAGTTGAAAACATTGTTTGCAGATAGTATGTTAGCTTCTTGTTCAAATCTTTCATTTCAGAAATATAGAACATATTATGAATAGCTTGATAGCTACTCCTAGGAATGAATCTTTCCATTTCATTGATAGACAATCCTTCTACAAGTTGGTATATGATGAGCAGTCCTTTCTCTACACTTCTATAAGGACATGGATAATGAGTGCAACCAAACAAAACATTCAGAAAGAAGAAAACAGGAATCATCCCTAGATGTTTAAGAAGTGTATCCTTTATTAGTTTAATTTCTCTTACTTCACGAACTTCACTTCTGTGATATTTTGTATGTTTTAGAATTACCCAGTCATCATTCAGAAACTTCCATTTGTTTGTGTACAATTTGTGATATTCCTTTTCTCTGAGTTCTTGTAATTGATGATTCATCATTGTGAGGCACTCATAAATTTAAAAGTTGTCATTTATTGCAATGGGCCCATTCTACAAATTCTTCAACACTCGACTTGCTGAGCTAGATGAGGAAGAGAGAGAAAAGCTAGTCCAACTACTTAGCAAAAATTTCAATATGAGCAGAAAATTAACAGTATATATCAGAGCTTGGATCAGGAATGTTTCAGAAGATAGGGGTGTTACTATTAAGCATGTGTTTGATGTGTGCAACTACAGTTGTGCAGATATGGAAGTAATGGTTGCCAACTGCCCATTTTAAAACTAGATCCTCTCAGTATGGATGATACGATTATGAATTCTAGTTACTTTAAGTACCACTTCTTGATTTGGTTGGCCAATAACAGAGGCAATATATTCTCCAAATGGACTACTTGCTTGTATTTTGATATGAGTGTGAGTACTGCTAACTACTTCATTGTGAATCATATAGATATCTAGATAGTAGAATGGCAACCCTCTAAAAGTATATAAGAAATAATGATGAATTAGGAACTCATCTCCAGCATGAAGTATATTATAAGCAACTTTATATCTAGCTGGCCTAAGATCAGTATTTTCTCTTATGTATGTGGGTTCTAGATCATCAAGTTCAATGTTGCTAATATCAGCAATAAGATCATCTACACCTAGGTCATCAGTATCCTCACTAACACTTGAGAGAGTTGAGAGACAAACTTTCTCTCTTGCTTGTTGAGCAGTTAGCCAATCAATATGCATTCCACGATAGTTAACAAGTCCCATTTCAGCAAATGTGTGTTGTTGCCTTTCTCTTGAAGCAACAGGCCAGAAGGAATTTCTCTGACTAGGAACAATAGTGATGTTTGTGATATCTCTTCTCAGAACAACTTCAGATTCAAGAGGACCACTACTAGTAGCATATGTAAGAAGAAGAGTTGGGTGTCCATTAAATGTAAGATTGGAAACAACAGTCATCACATCCTCATTCTTTGTCAACTTTTTAGCTATTCCTTGTTTCTTCTTAGTTGTCTGATTGAACCAATGGCAGTAACCAAGAGCATGTTCTTTATGGAAGTAGATGCACAACATATGTTTGTTATGAATCTGATCAACTAGTGCCATCCATTGCTTCTCATAAGATGTTGCAAATGTCCTACAGCTACTAAGAAACTCCAGTGTACTAGCAATTAAGTTTGTGTTCCATTCTACTTCTTTCAACTCAGGAGAGTGAACAGTAAGCTCAAGTCTCATTAATCCTTCATTCCTACAAGCAACAAGTGTTTCACCAAATTGCTGAGAAGTTGGCATCACTAGCTCTGATAGCTTAGAAGTAAGTTGATTGCGAACCTCACCACTTTCTAGAAGTTGAACAAATTTATTATACAACTTGTTCCTAATTCTTATTTCATCTTCATCAGTAAACCAGCTAATACAGTTTGCTCCAACTTTATCTTCATCATCAAGAATATCATTGCTACTGATTCCATTATCAAGAAGAAATTCCTTAATCACAGCCCTAGAAGATATGTTTAGACAATCCATTGTAATATCATAGTTCAGAAGAAATACATGTTCCTGATGCATCCTAAGAAAGATATCAGTTAGTGCAGGATCAGCTATTGCAACATTTGGAGCAGATAGTTTGTAAACAGAGACTTTACCATTTCTCACACTTACCATGCACTTTATATAGGAGGTCATTCAGAGATAGTTATCTGCACAACAATTATTTGTGCATATTGAAACTATTGGCAATTTCAGTGAAATAAAAATTTCACCCAAACCGCCATCGGCATCTTGGAAAAGTTTCAGTGAACATAATTTCAACCAGAAAGAAAAACTTTGCATATTTGGGGTTAATTATCATTGGGCAACAAAAGTCAATATCTCAATAGATGTGGCTAAGCAACCACAAGGAAATTATGTTCACTGAAACTTTTCCAAGATGCCGATGGCGGTTTGGGTGAAATGGCAAAAAAAATATTTGTATTTTTAAAATCAATTATACACACAAAAACATTCTGGACACAATAACAAATAATAACTATAGAAAAAATAATTAGTAGCAAAAAATAGTTCTGAAAACGATTATTCAAATATCTATCTAACAAAATTGCAAATAACTAAAATTTACAAGTCCAGGAATGACCCCCAAGAGGAACCAACTTAAGTGAAGCAGAGTTAGAATATAATAGCAAACTTGGGTCATTTAGATCAATGGTTGAGAGCACATTTGGAGAACTAGGTAACACATTTAAGAGACTATCAAATAGGGAAGTTGTGAGAATTAGAAACACAACTGTGTACAATGTGCAGTTTAAACTCTGTTGCTTACTCTACAATATGAAGAAGATCCTAGCAGCTAGTAAAGTTCCTGTTGAACATCACCACACACTTTGGGTTCTATCTAACTTTGACTACCCAAGCAACAATCAGGAGAGATCAACACATGCTGAAGTTGGAAGTAGTTTACCACAAAAAGTAGAGTTAGAGGCTTCAATGAGAGAACTACAAGATAGACTGATTCAAGCTAAAATTGATGAGTCAATGAACTTCTATGTTGACATGTCATAAACATCTTTTAAAATAAGAATTTTCAGTAAGAATTTTGCATTGATAGAAAATGCTTCAATAAGGAGGTCATTCAGAGATAGTTATCTGCACAACAATTATTTGTGCATATTGAAACTATTGGCAATTTCAGTGAAATAAAAATTTCACCCAAACCGCCATCGGCATCTTGGAAAAGTTTCAGTGAACATAATTTCAACCAGAAAGAAAAACTTTGCATATTTGGGGTTAATTATCATTGGGCAACAAAAGTCAATATCTCAATAGATGTGGCTAAGCAACCACAAGGAAATTATGTTCACTGAAACTTTTCCAAGATGCCGATGGCGGTTTGGGTGAAATGGCAAAAAAAATATTTGTATTTTTAAAATCAATTATACACACAAAAACATTCTGGACACAATAACAAATAATAACTATAGAAAAAATAATTAGTAGCAAAAAATAGTTCTGAAAACGATTATTCAAATATCTATCTAACAAAATTGCAAATAACTAAAATTTACAAGTCCAGGAATGACCCCCATACTTAAATCTGTATCCATCACCAAAAACTCTATGCAATCTATCAAAAGGAGTAATATTGTGAAGTTGATCCATTAGAGTATATGAGTCAGGAATCTCAACAACACATGAATCCATAAAGATATCAGATTGCTGAACAAATCCTTGCTGTTCAATGCCATTACTAGTATATCTTGCATCAGATATATCAGGCATATTATCTCTATTCTTCAACTCAAGTCCCAAAAGGGAGTTAAGATGTACTCTTAAGGAGGCCATTCATAAATATAAAAGTTTAAAGAAACTAAATACCTATTATTAGAATAACTAATTAACAAATAATAAATCAATTACTAGCAGTAGATAAATATTTTAAAATACAGAATGTTTACCACTGGCCAAAAAGATTTAAGCAACTAGATTAACAAATAAACAAAGATGCCAAATATGGTGCTTCTACGAAACCCCCTTCAGCATCCTGAAAAATTTCAGTTGATTTCTCGGGACGCAGCCTGTATCTCAGTAGAAGCATATTAATTGTGTATCAACTGAAATTTTTCAGGATGCCGAAGGGGGTTTCGTAGAAGCACCATATTTGGCATCAGAACAAGAAAACAATAAAAATATTAATAATTATTAAATAGCTAACCATTTCTGACTGATCTCCTTATAGAATTAGATTTATTCAAAAGCTGCCATTTTAAAACATCATGTTCAAGTCATCAAGTCGTTATCATCCTATTTATAACTATTTATCTAATACCAAGCAATCATATAACTCATCAATTTTAGAAAGTATCAAACTATACCATTTTAAAAAATCATAATAAATTCATCAAGTTGTTAGAATCCCATCTGTAATTAATAGATATGCACCAAGCAATCATATGTGTCATCAATTTTAGAAAGAATCAAGCTGTGCTATTTTAAAACATCAAATTCAAGTCATCAAGTCATTAGTACTCCATCTGTAATTAATCAATATGCACCAAGCAATCATATGTATCATCAATTTTAGATTGAAGGAATCGATTTTGAATTTCAACAATAGATGCTTCTAACTCTGCTTTTTGGGGCAAAGTATGTATTGGTTCCACTTGTGTTGACTTATCATGTGTATCAGGGTAATCAAAGTTGCTCATAACCCAGAATGAGTGATGATGATCAATATGTACATCACTGTTTGCTAGTATCTTCTTCATATTATAGAGTAAGCAGCATAACTTCATTTGCACATTGTAAACATTCCTATTCTTTACTCTAACAATCTCCCTGTTTGACAGCCTTTTGAATGTATTGCCTAGTTCTCCAAATGTATTTTCTACCATTGAATGGAATGATCCAAGATGGGAATTATATTCAGCTTCTGTTTCTGATAAGCTTGTTCCTCTCTGCTTTCTTACTGGTAAACAAAAGTTGTGCAGTCCAAAAGTATCCTGCTCTTCTTCCTCAGTCATCTCTTCCAAAATACTTTGTGGATAACCACCATCAAGCACAATACAATCAATAGGTGATATATTCTTCAGCAACCCCATGTTCTTAATCATTCTTGAGTCTGGGTGATCTCTACAGTCTTCAGTTGGTGAAACAAGTAGAACCATTCCATTCACATCAATGCATAGTTGTGTGCGATATCCTGATTTTTTCAATTTGAATAAATAGAGATCTGGTTTGTATGCTCCATTGTGTAGTGCTCTTGAGTCATGGCCATCTAACATTAGTGTAACATGTTTAAACCCTTGAGGATTCTGTATCTTTGCTGCAAAGACTCGTAGTTCTGGAGTTGAAAACATTGTTTGCAGATAGTATGTTAGCTTCTTATTCAAATCTTTCATTTCAGAAATATAGAACATATTGTGAATAGCTTGATAGCTACTCCTAGGAATGAATCTTTCCATTTCATTGATAGATAACCCTTCTATAAGTTGGTATATGATGAGCAGTCCTTTCTCTACACTTCTGTAAGGACATGGATAATGAGTGCAACCAAACAAAACATTCAGAAAGAAGAAAACAGGAATCATCCCTAGATGTTTAAGAAGTGTGTCCTTGATAAGTTTAATTTCTCTTACTTCACGAACTTCACTTCTGTGATATTTTGTATGTTTTAGAATTACCCAGTCATCATTCAGAAACTTCCATTTGTTTGTGTACAGTTTGTGATACTCCTTTTCTCTGAGTTCTTGTAATTGATGATTCATCATTGTGAGGCACTCATAAATTTAAAAGTTGTCATTTATTGCAATGGGCCCATTCTACAAATTCTTCAACACTCGACTTGCTGAGCTAGATGAGGAAGAGAGAGAAAAGCTAGTCCAACTACTTAGCAAAAATTTCAATATGAGCAGAAAATTAACAGTATATATCAGAGCTTGGATCAGGAATGTTTCAGAAGATAGGGGTGTTAGTATTAAGCATGTGTTTGATGTATGCAACTACAGTTGTGCAGATATGGAGGTAATGGTTGCTAACTGCCCATTTTAAAACTAGATCCTCTCAGTATGGATAATACGATTATGAATTCTAGTTACTTTAAGTACCACTTCTTGACTTGGTTCACCAATAATAGAAGCAATATATTCTCCAAATGGACTACTTGCTTGTATTTTGATATGAGTGTGAGTACTGCTAACTACTTCATTGTGAATCATATAGATATCTAGATAATAGAATAGCAACCCTCTAAAAGTATATAAGAAATAATGACTAACTAGGAACTCATCTCCAACATGAAGTATGTTATAAGCAACTTTATATCTAGCTGGCCTAAGATCAGTATTTTCTCTTATATATGTGGGTTCTAGATCATCAAGTTCAATGTTGCTAATATCAGCAATAAGATTATCTATTCCTAGGTCATCGGTATCCTCACTAACACTTGAGAGAGTTGAGAGACAAACTTTCTCTCTTGCTTGCTGAGCTGTTAACCAATCAATATGCATTCCACGATAGTTAACAAGTCCCATTTCAGCAAATGTGTGTTGTTGCCTTTCTCTTGAAACAACAGGCCAGAAAGAATTTTTCTGACTAGGAACAATAGTGATGTTTGTGATATCTCTTCTCAGAACAACTTCAGATTCAAGAGGACCACTACTGGTAGCATATGTAAGAAGAAGAGTTGGGTGCCCATTAAAAGAGAGGTTAGAAACAACAGTCATCATATCTTCATTCTCTTTCAACTTTTTAGCTATTCCTTGTTTCTTCTTAGTTGTCCTATTGAACCAATGGCAATAAGCAAGAGCATGTTCTTTATGAAAGTAAATACACAATGTATGTTTGTTATGAATCTGATCAACTAGTGCCATCCATTGCTTTTCATAAGATGTTGCAAATGTCCTACAATCACTAAGAAACTCTAGTGTACTAGCAATTAAGTTTGTGTTCCATTCTACTTCTTTCAACTCAGGAGAGTGAACAGTAAGCTCAAGCCTCATTAATCCTTCATTCCTACAAGCAACAAGTGTTTCACCAAATTGCTGAGAAGTTGGCATCACTAGCTCTGATAGCTTAGAAGTAAGTTGATTGCGAACCTCACCACTTTCTAGAAGTTGAACAAATTTATTGTACAACTTGTTCCTAATTCTTATTTCATCTTCATCAGTAAACCAGCTAATACAGTTTGCTCCAACTTTATCTTCATCATCAAGAATATCATTGCTACTGATTCCATTATCAAGAAGAAATTCCTTAATCACAGCCCTAGAAGATATGTTTAGACAATCCATTGTAATATCATAGTTCAGAAGAAATACATATTCCTGATGCATCCTAAGAAAGATATCAGTTAGTGCAGGATCAGCTATTGCAACATTTGGAGCAGATACTTTGTAAACAGAGACTTTACCATTTCTCACACTTACCATGCACTTCATATACTTAAATCTGTATCCATCACCAAAAACTCTATGCAATCTATCAAAAGGAGTAATATTGTTAATCTGATCTATAAGAGCATATGATTCAGGTATCTCAACAACACATGAATCCATAAAGATATCAGAATGCTGAATAAATCCTTGCTATTCAATGCCATTACTAGTATATCTTGCATCAGATATATCAGGCATATTATCTCTATTCTTCAACTCAAGTCCCAAAAGGGAGTTAAGATGTACTCTTAAGGAGGCCATTCATAAATATAAAAGTTTAAAGAAACTAAATATCTATTATCAGAATAACCAATTAACAAATAATAAATCAATTACTAGCAGTAGATAAATATTTTAAAATACAGAATGTTTAGCAATGGCCAAAAAGATTCTAGCAACTAGATTAACAAACAAACAAAGATGCCAAATATGGTGCTTCTACAAAACCCCCTTCGGCATCCTGAAAAATTTCAGTTGATACACAATTAATATGCTTCTACTGAGATAGAGGCTGCGTCCCGAGAAATCAACTGAAATTTTTCAGGATGCCGAAGGGGGTTTGTAGAAGCACCATATTTGGCATCAGAACAAGAAAACAATAAAAATATTAATAATTATTAAATAGCTAACCATTTCTGACTGATCTCCATACTTTGCCCCAAAAAGCAGAGTTAGAAGCATCTATTGTTGAAATTCAAAATCAATTCCTTCAATCTAAAATTGATGACACATATGATTGCTTGGTGCATATTGATTAATTACAGATGGAGTACTAATGACTTGATGACTTGAATTTGATGTTTTAAAATGGCACAGTTTGATTCTTTCTAAAATTGATTCTATATATATTTGCTTGGTGCATATCTATTAATTACAGATGGGATTCTAACAACTTGATGAATTTATTATGATTTTTTAAAATGGCATAGTTTGATTCTTTTTAAAATTGATGATATATATGATTACTTGGTATTAGATAAATAGTTATAAATAGGATGATAATGACTTGATGACTTGAACATGATGTTTTAAAATGGAACCTTTTGATTAAATCTAATTCTATAAGGAGATCAGTCAGAAATGGTTAGCTATTTAATAATTATTAATATTTTTATTGTTTTCTTGTTCAGATGCCAAATATGGTGCTTCTACGAAACCCCCTTCGGCATCCTGAAAAATTTCAGTTGATTTCTCGGGACGCAGCCTCTATCTCAGTAGAAGCATATTAATTGTGTATCAACTGAAATTTTTCAGGATGCCGAAGGGGGTTTCGTAGAAGCACCATATTTGGCATCTTTGTTTATTTGTTAATTTAGTTGCTAGAATCTTTTTGGCCATTGCTAAACATTCTGTATTTTAAAATATTTATCTACTGCTAGTAATTGATTTATTATTTATTAATTAGTTATTCTGATAATAGATATTTAGTTTCTTTAAACTTTTATATTTATGAATGGCCTCTATTGTTTGCAGATAGAATGTCAGCTTCTTATTCAAATCTTGCATTTCTGAAATGTAGAACATATTGTGAATAACTTGATAGCTACTTCTTGGAAGGAATCTTTCCATTTCATTGATTGACAATCCTTCTACAAGTTGGTATAAGATAAGCAATCCTTTTTCTATACTTCTGTAAGGACATGGATAATGAGTGCAGCCAAACAAAACATTCAGAAAGAAGAAAACAGGAATCATCCCTAGATGTTTATGAAGTGTATCTTTTATAAGTTTGATTTCTCTTACTTCACGAACTTCACTTCTGTGATATTTTGTATGCTTAAAAACTACCCAGTCATCATTCAGAAATTTCCACTTATTTGTGTAGAGCTTATGATATTCCTTTTCTCTGAGTTCTTGTAATTGATGATTCATCTGTGCGATGTACTAATAAATTTAAAAGTTGTCATTTATTATAATGGGCCCATTCTATAAGTTCTTCAACACTCAACTTTCTGAGCTAGATGAGGAAGAGAGAGAAAAGCTAGTCCAACTACTTAGCAGAAATTTCAATATGAGCAGAAAATTAACAGTGTATATCAGAGAATGGATTAAGAATGTTTCAGAAGATAGGGGTGTTAGTATTAAGCATATGTTTGATGTATGCAACTACAGTTATGCAGATATGGAAGTAATGGTTGCCAACTGCCCATTTTAAAACTAGATCCTCTCAGTATGGATAATACGATTATGAATTCTAGTTACTTTAAGCACCACTTCTTGATTTGGTTGGCCAATAACAGAAGCAATACATTCACCAAATGGACTACTTACCAGTACTTTGATAAGTGTATGAGTGCTGCTAACTATTTCATTGTGAATCATAGAAATATCTAGATAGTAGAAAGGTAATCCTCTAAAAGTATATAGGAAGTAATAACTAACTAAGAACTCATCACCAACATGAAGTATGTTGTAAGCAACTTTATATCTAGCTGGCTTGAGATCAGTATTTTCTCTTAAATATGTAGGTTCTAGATCATCAAGTTCAATATTGCTAATATCTGCAAGAAGGTCATCTATTCCTAAACCATCAGTATTATCACTAACAATTGAGAGAGTTGAAAGCCTAACTTTCTCTCTTGCTTGCTGAGCTGTTAACCAATCAATGGGGGTCATTCCTGGACTTGTAAATTTTAGTTATTTGCAATTTTGTTAGATAGATATTTGAATAATCGTTTTCAGAACTATTTTTTGCTACTAATTATTTTTTCTATAGTTATTATTTGTTATTGTGTCCAGAATGTTTTTGTGTGTATAATTGATTTTAAAAATACAAATATTTTTTTTGCCATTTCACCCAAACCGCCATCGGCATCTTGGAAAAGTTTCAGTGAACATAATTTCAACCAGAAAGAAAAACTTTGCATATTTGGGGTTAATTATCATTGGGCAACAAAAGTCAATATCTCAATAGATGTGGCTAAGCAACCACAAGGAAATTATGTTCACTGAAACTTTTCCAAGATGCCGATGGCGGTTTGGGTGAAATTTTTATTTCACTGAAATTGCTAATAGTTCCAGCATGCATAAATAGTTAATGGGCAGATAAGTGTCTCTGTATAACCCCCAATATGTATTCCACGATAGTTAATAAGTCCCATTTCAGCAAATGTATGTTGTTGTCTTTCTCTTGAAGCAACTGGCCAGAAGGAGTTTCTCTGACTAGGAACAATAGTGATGTTTGTGATATCTCTTCTCAGAACAACTTCAGATTCAAGAGGACCACTACTAGTAGCATATGTAAGAAGAACAGTTGGGTGTCCATTGAATGTAAGATTAGAAACAACAGTCATCATATCCTCATTCTTTTTCAACTTTTTAGCTATTCCTTGTTTCTTCTTAGTTGTTTTATTGAACCAATGGCAGTAACCAAGAGAATGTTCTTTATGGAAGTAAATACACAACATATGTTTGTTATGAATCTGATCAACTAGTGCCATCCATTGCTTTTCATAAGATGTTGCAAATGTCCTGCAGTTATGAAGAAACTCAAGAGTATTGACAATTAAGTTTGTGTTCCATTCTACTTCCTTCAACTCAGGAGAGTGAACAGTAAGCTCAAGTCTCATTAATCCTTCATTCCTACACGCAACAAGTGTTTCACCAAACTGTTGAGAAGTTGGCATCACTAGCTCTGATAGCTTAGAAGTAATTTGATTACGAACTTCACCACTTTCTAAGAGTTGAACAAATTTATTATACAACTTGTTCCTTATTCTTATCTCATCTTCATCAGTAAACCAGCTAATACAGTTTGCTCCAACTTTATTTTCATCATCAAGAATATCTTTGCTACTGATTCCATTATCAAGAAGAAATTCCTTAACAATAGCTCTAGAAGAAATATATAGACAATCCATTGTAATATCATAGTTTTGAAGAAATACATGTTCTTGATGCATCCTAAGAAAGATATCAGTTAGTGCAGGATCAGCTATTGCAACATTTGGAGCAGATACTTTATACACAGAGACGTTACCATTTGTCACACTTGTGCTGCATCTTATATATTTAAAACTATAACCATCACCAAATACTCTATGCAATCTATCAAAAGGAGTAATATTGTGAAGTTGATCCATTAGAGTATATGAGTCAGGAATCTCAACAACACATGAATCCATAAAGATGTCAGATTGCTGAACAAATCCTTGCTGTTCAATGCCATTACTAGTATATCTTGCATCAGATATATCAGGCATATTATCTCTATTCTTCAACTCAAGTCCCAAAAGGGAGTTAAGATGTACTCTTAAGGAGGCCATTCATAAATATAAAAGTTTAAAGAAACTAAATATCTATTATCAGAATAACCAATTAACAAATAATAAATCAATTACTAGCAGTAGATAAATATTTTAAAATACAGAATGTTTACCACTGGCCAAAAAGATTCAAGCAACTAGATTAACAAATAAACAAAGATGCCAAATATGGTGCTTCTACGAAACCCCCTTCGGCATCCTGAAAAATTTCAGTTGATTTCTCGGGATGCAGCCTGTATCTCAGTAGAAGCATATTAATTGTGTATCAACTGAAATTTTTCAGGATGCCGAAGGGGGTTTCGTAGAAGCACCATATTTGGCATCAGAACAAGAAAACAATAAAAATACTAATAATTATTAAATAGCTAACCATTTCTGACTGATCTCCAGAATAACCAAGTATTAAATAACAAATCAATTACTAGCAGTTGAAAAATATTTTAAAAATCAGAATGTTTAGTGATGGCCAAAAAGATTTTAGCAACTAGATTAATTAATAAATAAAAATATAAGAATAGACACTTCTCTGAAACCCCCTTCAGCATCCTGAAAAATTTCAGTTGATACACAATTAATATGCTTCTACTGAGATACAGGCTGGGTCACAAGAAATCAACTGAAATTTTTCAGGATGCCGAAGGGGGTTTCGGAGCAGTTCAAAAAAAACAAAAGAACAAAAAGTTTTACAACTTCTAATTATTTTTTACTTAGTTTAGTGATTGTGAATGACCTCCATAGAGGACAGTGCATCTGATTCCTCTGATGCTCCACTAAGCCGCAGACTGCAATCCCATACAAAAAAGGCCCACCACACATCCCCACAGTTGGACAAGCAGGGCGCTGCAAGTGCTCACTAGAACACTAGCACCAAACTGCTAACAACCGGAACTGTTTCTGAATGTCAGCTCAAGAAATTTGAGAAGATATGTTAGAGACCATTGGCAAACGACCCACCTCTTTACGACCTTCAATGGGCTCTATGGCTGATGCCCCATTAGCCAGAGGCCCACCACCACCCCCAAATATCCTTGCCGCTGCTTTTGTGCCTGATAAACATAATGACAGTGACAATGAGGATCCACAAGAACAGGAGCCTTTGGGCACTGACTTACCACACCCAGATCCACCAGCCTGGGCTGAACTACCAGTCCCTGAACCACCATCCCTCCACCCACTCTCCCTCCCACGCCTCTGTATTGCCTCAGCAAATATACAAGGTGCAATGAGTAATGAGCAGAAATTGCTAGAGTTTGAACAACTCGCAAAAGACAATACTGTGAACATTGTGTTCATCCAGGAGTTCCAAGGTGCAGCTGACCCATCTACATGCCTACAGGGAGCATTCAATAGCTTTGTCTGCTCAGCACCTGCCCCCACTACTACATGATCTGATGGTCGCCCTGCCTACTATGACACAGTCATTCTGACAGCCAAAGCACTTGGTGCTGTAGAGCTGCAGACACCATTCTCATCACCATAAGCAACATTCCTCACTATCCCCTCACTGCGCCTGTAGTTAATCAACATACATAGCCCTTTTGGACAGGAAACTGATGACTTCCACTTCCACATAGCGACTGCAGCCAGCATGTTCTAGGAACATGGCTGGACACTGCTTATTGGTGGTGATTTCAATATTGCCCCAACACACAGAAACTGCCTACATGCCAATGATGATGAGTGCAATTTCCACATCATTCCCATATATAACCTCTACAATAGTACTGTGGACATCCTCGACTTTTAGTGCCAATGCATATCAGCAACACCTGCCAATGCCACAACTGGGCCACTAGTGAATGACTTCACCTACAACCACAGGAGGTCATTCACAATCACTAAACTAAGTAAAAAATAATTAGAAATTGTAAAACTTTTTGTTCTTTTGTTTTTTTTGAACTTCTCCGAAACCCCCTTCGGCATCCTGAAAAATTTCAGTTGATTTCTCAGGACGCAGCCTGTATCTCAGTAGAAGCATATTAATTGTGTATCAACTGAAATTTTTCAGGATGCCGAAGGGGGTTTCGGAGAAGCGTCTGTTCTTATATTTTTATTTATTAGTTAATCTAGTTGCTAAAATCTTTTTGGCCATCACTAAACATTCTGATTTTTAAAATATTTTTCAACTACTAGTAATTGATTTGTTATTTAATACTTGGTTATTCTGATACAAGATATTAAGTTTCTTTAAACTTTCTTATTTGTGAATGGCCTCCACAATCATAGTGGGTACATATCTCATCTAGATCTGTTTCTGGTACCCCTTGAATAGGCTTTGCGATGGAACACAGAGTACATCACTGCTCTACTAGTAGCAGATTATAAGATGATAATACTCACTATTGATTCTGTGACTCCTGAGCCTAAGCGCACACACTGACCATACTATCTGGACCCAGCCAAACTCAATATTGATACCAATATTGAGTTCATCAACAAGAAATTTGACATGTTCCTCAGCAACATCCCTAAAATACCCAGAGAGATACTGCCAGCATACATGCAAGTCCTAGCTGACATACTTGACCACTTTCGCAAGGAGGACTACTAATGAGATCATGGCAAGCACCGTAGCATACACTCTAAGTTTCGCCAATTTGCCAACTTGGCAAACTAGGCATATATGGCAAACTCTAGTACAGTGGCTAAGGCACTTCACAGCCAAATAGCAGCTATTGAAGAGGAGGCTAAGGCACTATATGTGACCATAGCTGACCATATTGCTGACTGCTGCAAAAACACCTGGGTTCATAAAGGAGATTGGCGAAACACATAGAACTACCAGCACACCAGAAATGCCATCAACCCACTATCCTCAACAACAATCACTGCCCTATGGGATGCCAATACTAGTAACATTGTAGAGGACTGTACTATGATCCCTGAAGTTACCAGACAATTCTATATAGACATGTACAAGTGCACCCAACTAGCAGCCTAAGATGTGGATCATCTGCTAGATCTACATAAGCAATATGTTGATGCTCGACCAGCAAAACAAATTGCAGAGGCAACAGCAATGGTGGGTGAGTTGATCACCTTAGCACAGGTCACTGAGGCATGCAAGAGTGCAAGCCACAAACATGCTCCTGGGCCCAATGGCATACCAGTAGAGCTGTACATTAAGTGTGCTAAAGCATGTGAAGCTCTGTGGTACATTGCAAACTGCATCTTGGCTGATGCATCCCTAGTCACTGAGTAGTTCACTGCTGGCCGCATTGTGATATTGTTCAAGAAGAAGGACCCACTGGACCTGCAGTACTACAGGCCTATCTCTCTCTTGAACTCTGACCTCAAGGTCATCACAAGTATACTGGCCCAATGCATTGGCTATGCAGTCCAGCACCATATCTTACCAGAGCAAACAGCAATTGTTCCTAGCTACAGAATGTCTGATGCTATCCATAATGTAATGTGTGTGATGCACCATCTCAAGAGATAAGAGCACCCCTCTGCAGTCATTATGTTCCTTGACCAGGCTAAGGCATATGACCATGTGGCACATGTCACTCTCTTCTGCCTACTGTGTGAGAACTACAGGCTCCCTCAAAAGGTCACCAACCTCATCAAGGCACTGTACAGCACTGCATCCTCCTCTGTTATAATCAACAGCATTGAGTCAGCACTATTTCCAGTACAAAATGGTGTTCAACAAGGGTATGCACTGCATGAACATATCCCACACACATGTTTCCCCACACTGAACCTTGCATCAGGCCCAATACTATTCTCATACTCCATGTATATGGATGACATAGCAGTTGTTATCAAGTATGCCCACAACTACCAAAAACTGCAGTATGCTCTTGACAGATACTGCAAGGGCACAAATGCCTTATTCAACATTGAGAAGACTGAGGCAATTCTAATTCGGCATAGCAGCTATGATGCTGAGAGCCCATTGGCCAAATTACCAGTCAAACCAGTACCAATTGGCATCCCTGTGTGCTACCTTGGAGCATACCTGGGCATTGGCCTAGAGGTATAGGATCTGGTCAACAGCTCCATATCATGCATCTCAGTAAGAGCTGCAAAAGCTGTACAAACATACCATACTTAGAGGCCATGCCTTTGCAATTACCATATTTGCCCACCCCCTTCTACATTTTTCCACTCAGTTTACCCCATTCCAGATGCAAGATATTGGGAAACAGAAACAGTGGGTCTCTGGCATTCTGTGGGGCTGTACCTGACCATACCTCAATGAGACTCTGCTTACGCAACCAGCAAAAAGTGGGGGCCTAGGATTTACATCCCTCTATGCTATTTACTGAGCAGTTATGCTATGAGAGGCAGGCCAAGCAATGGATGCTTTTGAGTGCATTATCAATGCCCAAGCTATATCACAGCTAATACCAGAGACAATTCCAGTTTGGGCATAGATACTGGGGGTCATTCCTGGACTTGTAAATTTTAGTTATTTGCAATTTTATTAGATAGATATTTGAATAATTGTTTTCAGAACTATTTTTTGCTACTAATTATTTTTTCTATAGTTATTATTTGTTATTGTGTCCAGAATGTTTTTGTGTGTATAATTGATTTTAAAAATACAAATATTTTTTTTGCCATTTCACCCAAACTGCCATCGGCATCTTGGAAAAGTTTCAGTGAACATAATTTCCTTGTGGTTGCTTAGCCACATCTATTGAGATATTGACTTTTGTTGCCCAATGATAATTAACCCCAAATATGCAAAGTTTTTCTTTCTGGTTGAAATTATGTTCACTGAAACTTTTCCAAGATGCCGATGGCGGTTTGGGTGAAATTTTTATTTCACTGAAATTTCTAATAGTTCCAGCATGCATAAATAGTTAATGGGCAGATAAGTATCTCTGTATAACCCCCACTACTGTCAGACTGGCAATATGACCGAGTTGATCTCCAGGGTAACAGTGGTGCACCAAAGCCATTGAGGGTAATGCATGACCACATCTGGTGCTTCCTCCAGAACCCTTTCCTCCAGAGACACTGCCATATCAACCTTTAAGATAAGGTCTGGCCAATATACTAGCAATTGATCTACAAGTGATTTGTGCATGCAAAATCACACATCCAGATCTGCCTAGACCCCACTATGGCACATAGCAACTTGGCCAATGGGGGTCATTCCTGGACTTGTAAATTTTAGATATTTGCAATTTACTTATTTAGATATTTGATTAATCATTTTCAGAACAGTTTTTTGCTACTAATTATTTTTATTATGGTTAATATTAATTATTGTGTCCAGAATGTTTCTGTGCTTATAATTGATTTTAAAAATACAAATATTTTTTTTACTATTTCACCCAAACCGCCATCAGCATCTTGGAAAAGTTTCAGTGAACATAATTTCCTTGTAGTTGCTTAGCCACATCTATTGAGATATTGACTTTTATTGCCCAATAATAATTAACCCCAAATATGCAAAGTTTTTCTTTCTGGTTGAAATTATGTTCACTGAAACTTTTCCAAGATGCCGATGGCAGTTTGGGTGAAATTTTTATTTCACTGAAATTGCCAATAGTTCCAGCATGCATAAATAGTTAATGGGCAGATCAGTATCTCTGCATAACCCCCAATATGCCAATCATCAGCACTAGCATAGCCCCCATCCAGAGTGCCTACTGGTACTAGGTCCACAAGTTCTACAAATGGATTCATGACCAGAATGCTTATGCAGTGCCAAATATGCCAATAACCCCTCCACTTTTCTCAATAGGCATCATTGAGTCATTCTCCAAATGGCTTAAGTCTGAGTACTATGGCTTGTCAGCCAAAGCACGACAAGCAGCAGCAGATCTCGCAGAAAACTTGGGCCTAATCCAGCAGCAAATCCAGCAGCAGGAAGAGCAGCATACAGCAAACCCCTAGGCAGCAGTGTTAAAGCCATATCTGGCAAGCCTGTTCGTCAATAGCCAGCCAATAAAGCCAGAGCACAACCACTACTTCAGCTGGTGGTCCAGGACCACACACACAACCCAACACCTCCTACGCACAGACTCCCCAATTCCATTCCCAGAACCCACATACTAGGTCCCCACATTGGCCTTCCCAAAAATCCCCAAAACAATGCCATGGTCAATTGTGGCCAGAGTCAATGCCCTACTACAAGCCCATGCTACACTACACTGGCTCCACATAGATTGCCTGCCCCACTGATACCACCAAGATTCCCTAAAGCAGTGCCACTGTGGAGCTACAGAAACCCCACAGTATCTGGCAGGTGCATGCCCACTCACAGCCTACTATTGGGACCAGGTTCTCCCCAAATATGTAGCTGTGGGCCAAGCCCTAGTGCCAAATGTCCTTGCTGAGGTAGCTGAGTTGATAGAAAGAGCCCACAATACCAGGATCCAAGATGTGGACATCTATGAATTGCCAATCATAAGACTACACCCCCCA